CGTGTGTGTGTGTGTGTGTGTGTGTGTGTGTGTGTGTGAACTATTATTGTCTCTGCGAAGCTTTTTCAAATAGACTATACATATGATCACGTGACGTAATGGGGTATGTGTTATTTATAGCGTCACTGGCACTGGACTTTCTTTCTTGCGTCTCTATCTTGATATAGTTTTTCGTCTGTCCGGTGTTCCGAAATATTGTATATATAATACTAGAAATTGCAACTGTGACGTCACACGTTTCAGACATGGGGGCCTTCTAACCCTCATTGGTATGACCAACGTGCTGCCTTTAACATGAACAATCTGAGCTCCTACCCTACTTTCCAAGTATATTATACACCACCCCTCCCCCATATTTCAGTGCAAGCTAGTAGATTTCCTCCTAAGACCGCCAAGACGCCTCCCAAGTTGAAAGAAATACGGACACTGTCAAAAGTAGACCATGCTCTAACGGACACTTGTATAAAACAAATCACCTGTACAAATGGCCACTTTACATCTCCCTCGGTTTCTTTCAGACATAATGGTGGCAATGTATAAGACATCCACTGTCTAAGACGACCACTTTTCTCCTCGATAGTAGGGGGGGGGGGACGTCTTAGATAATTCCGACTCCTTTATATCCCCTCATTCATGGATATATTTATAGTGCGGTCAAACATTCGAGGCGCAACTTATTGCCAAATATCTACTCAACTATCGAACATAGACTATCCAGCTTCTGCACAATGGCTTGTACCAATTCATTTCAACAGGCCCATATTTTTATAAACACCTGCTAGCTGTTTTCAAAAACATTCCTTTATAAATACTAATAGAAAAATCCAAGTGGATGGTTTCTACAGACAGATTTTAAGAGGTTTACAGCTGGGGATTTATCGCTTTTAAAAGCAAGTCCGTCATTTTTTAATTTTTTTTTGTTTCTCTAATCGCGACAGTATGCCTATTGAATGCATGTTTTGAGAACCATTAGTGCTAAAAAGTTTTCACTATAAAATTAATTTCTTGTTACAAGTTTTGTTACTAAAGATTTCATTGGTGAGCTGTGACGTTGGCCACATACGTATATAAAATGTGTGTGAGAAGGGGGAGCGCTGTGAACCGTCATATTTTTCGTATAACGGATATTTATAGTATTATAATATACATTGATAAAGAAAATGTTTTTAATGTAGCCTCCATTGTTGTGGAAAAATATCATTACGCTATGACAAATTGAAACAAACTGCTGTGCAACGTATGGGTGACATTGACTCACCTATTAAAGAGATATGTGAGGATAAGTTGCGCCATGAATGTTTGACAGCGCTACAGGACATGTTCTATGAATACCAAAGACGAAATTGCTCTATCAGACATGGTACTAAAGACCAATTAGAAAAAGTGAAAAAGAGGTAGACCAACTGGGAACATTAGAGGGACAATAACTAGGGATGAGGCAATCACCCAGAGCCTGGAAGTGCCATAATTGGAGAACGTGGCCAGGGAGAGCCAAGCGTGGCGTCGACTGCTCTCCGCTTTATGTGCCTGACGGTAGAAGGAAAGAGTACGTTAGGAGGTAAGTACACCACCTCATCCGACCAGGTTAGGTATCAGCCATTCTCAGAACGCGTCTTATTTCACACGAGAAAATGACAATAACGCTCTGGACGTAGTCAAGTGTAGGTAACATGTATAGTATATTTATTATTCTTTTTTTTAAAAATGAAACGTCAACCGAACTGATCAGTATACTACATAGATCAGACTAAGACAAGGAGTATCTTCGAATATTTAAAGGAAGTAAGGCTCCCGTAATCTCTCTCTTTCCCTCTCTCTCTCTCTCTCTCTCTCTCTCTCTCTCTCTCTCT